TGCCCGGTGCACCCCCGCCTCCATCAGACGGCCGGAAGCCGCCGTCCAAACGGTCGTGACCCGGCCGGAGTGGATCCATCTGCCGTGAACTTGGAGCACAACGGGCCCATGGTCTACAGCTGTGTCTGAGGAAGGCGGGCAGGCACCGCCTTCGTCGGTAGTCCGGCTGAACCCAGACGGATTTAATCCCGCTGCTTATTAGCGCCGCCGAGGTAGACAGAAGGTGGTGGGAGTTCGGTGGAATCTGAATTGGGTGTGGTTGAGACATGACGGAAAAGGGAGGACGGTTACGCTTTGATGTGGTCTGCAACCCAACACAGTTTATCCCGGCGGATTGAGCCGGAATATAACCTCCATTGATCAAAGCATGATCCAATGCTGGGGTGAGCTGTGCAATGTGCATGCTAGCTGAGCTGCTCAGACATCTAGTTCAAAATCGACTGCAATTGACGGCAATACCAAATATTTACGTCTGGGGAAATCAAAATGGAAACTATGAAGGTGAGCCAATCATGAGTAATGGCATCCACAGTAAAAATGAAAATGCATGACTTCATTCAATCAAAATGAATGATAAATTTATGAACAGCGGATGGATATGTACTATCCGCAATTCATCAAACTTTGAGATCCTTTTGAGAAACAAAATACCGGACAACTTCAGCTAAAAAGAACGAGACAAACCCAACCTTTTACCGGCTGCCCCTGCCATTAGCAACGCTAGTCGCCGCGCCGTCATGGCCCATTCCGCCCGTCACTCTACCGTTCCCCCACGTCACCCGCAGTCACTCTACTTTTACCCCCCACGTCAGCGCCCGTCAGCGCACCACCTTCTCCATTACGGCGCGTCCGGCGATGACCGGGAATAGACGGACGATCCGGCACGGTACGGTCGCCAACGAGTCCCCTGGGAGTCCCGCTGAACGCTGTCCCGCTCAGCACACCGCTCAGCGCGCCCGCTGTCCATCGCCGTCGGAGAGGAGCGCGCAGGAATTGTCTCACGGCAGACCGTTTCTGCGCCGCAATCGTCTCACGGCAGAAGACTTCTGCGCCGCAATCGACGTCGGGCGCCTCAGCGGTCAGTAAGGCTGACACGAGGAAATGGGGAAGCAGTGACGGTCAGTGCCCCGCGGGGACACTGGGTCAGTCAGTCGAGCTGGATCGCCTCAGCTAAGGTCGGCAGACTGACCGTGTCTGTAAGAAAGATTTGAGCGAGACCATACAATAAGGCCCTGATCGGCTGATCGAATCGAATCTGCGTGCTGACCAGTAGCGGCGGAACACCTTCAATTAAGGGGGGCACCGCCGACTTTTGGTCTCATTCTTTCCATGCAACGCCCATAGGGCTAATGTTAACCTTCCAGGCGGTGGGGGGGGGGCATTTTTTTGCCCCCCCCTTTAGTTTTTTCGATATATCTCGAGAACCGCTGCGCCGATCGTCACCAAACTTTCAGTACCCTCCCGGGAGTAGCTAGCGCACATGGTGACCAAAAATTTTTCCAAAGGCTATGATAGGTTGGCCGCTAATGACGTCAGAGTGACGTCATTTTTGCCATTTTCGACCCAAAAAAAGGTTTCGCGGGAAGAGCTGTCAGGCCTACAGCTTTAGAGATACAGAAAAATGATTCAGACATAAAAGGTGTGGAATCAAGAGGGCTACAAAACTGCTATTTCGGTTTTTCGAATTTTTTGGATTTTGACCCCCAAAAATCAAAAAATAGATTTTTTGAAAATAATAGCCGAAAAATCCAAAAAGTTTTTTGAATTTCGAAAAACCGGAATATATGTGATAGTCCTCACCGCCTTCTATCTACATACCAAGTTTGAGATCAATACCTCTTTTTTTGGCCAAGTTATAGCGAAAAAACTGTTCAAAATTGATGACGTCAAATTTTCAAACTCAATTTTTAGCAATTATAGACCTCGTAGCGCAAAACAAAGACCACCATTAGACTCCCCGTGACGAGCTGCATCGAATCGATACCCATTTAATGCAAAAATATCAACTTTGAAATTTGACCTTTTTTGACCTGACCTTGACCTGACCTCCACCAGAAAGTGACCTAAACCGTACCTGATGGTCTTATAACCAATACCATTGAGTTGGAAATGAAAAACTGGCCATAAAACATGCATCGCACAACCTTAGTAAAGTTGGGTTCATGTGGTGACCCTTGGTGACCTTTGGTGACCTGACCTGTGACCTGACCTGGTATGACCAGTGACCTCTAATAGCAACATATGTACTAGAAAACTGGCGCCTTATCGCTGATTTTCGACAAAATGCGTTTTACTCGGTGTTATAGCGCTTTCCATAGAAGCCCCGTGAACGGTGAAACATTTTATCTTTGACCTGACCTGTGACGTCATCGGTGACCCCGAGGTCAATGAAATTTGTTTTCCGTGGACAAATTTGACAGGGCTATCGAACGCCGTTTGAATTTTCCGGATCCGTCCAGTAGTTTCGGAGATACGAGGGGGGGCAAAAAAATGCCCCCCCCCCCACCCCCACCGCGCGGAAGGTGGCTGGTAGGCCCACCGCCTGCCGGGTTAAAATGCCAAAATAAAAGGGGGGCACGGCGCCCCGGTGCCCTCCCCGTTCCGCCGCCTATGGTGCTGACATTATGAACAACAATAAGAACGCCATTTCTGAGGACAATAATGAACAAAAATATTATATACCACGCATCATTCGTGATAACCTGACCTTTGTATCCCGTACACTAATTGGGTGGACAGCATCACAACAAACCAATCAGTCAGTACGCAACTGTCCGAACGTCCTTCCGGCCGATCATACGAGCGGAGCTCGACATCGCAAACGAGCCCTCATCAGTACCAGCGTCAGTGGAGAGCCACGGAGAATATCCCGCTAGCAGCTAGCATTAGTGGCCCGCGCATGCTGCTCATCAGACCGACATCCGTCGCTCCGCTCCCCCGCCAGGGAGAGGCCCGTCGGCGGCGGCTCAATCAGGGAACACTTCCGGCCGGCCAGATAACCAGATAACTGGCGGAGAGGCATTGATCAGTAGCTGCGGACGGGCTAGTTACCGGAGCGGACTGCGGAGCGGAGGCTAGTTATCGGCGCGGACTGAGAAGCGGAGGCTAGTTACCGGCGCGGACTGCCGAGCGGAGGTTAGTTACCAGCGCGGACTGAGGAGCAGACGGCTAGTTACCGGCGCGGACTGCGGAATCGCTGAATGGTAACAATGTCTCACAGAATATCGAGCAATGGTGTGCTTTGGGACTGAATATCGCGCTGGGGGTGTGCTTTGGGGCCGAATCTCTGTCCGTACAAAACGTAGTGCTTTCCTAGTAACGAGGACAACGTCTCAAAGACTATCTTTCCATTGGGGCGAGTCTCCTGTTGAGATGCTCCAGTAATGGCTCTCCACTCTGAAGCAGCAATAATGACGAACACGCTAATGAGGAGAGACGACTGTTCAAATGTTTGAGCTATAAATGTCAAGGAATGTTGATTGCTGAATGGCAGATATGCGGATGCTCTTTCTTTTCTCGTCAGTTATCCAGCGAAAATTGAACGGAGAATCGAGCGCCTGACAATGAAGTGAAAACAAATGTTCACGACCAAGGTCCGTAACCAAACGTAGCTTTGCCCTAATAATCTGAATAATAATCCTACACCTAGCTAGACTCCATACTCCAACAAGTGTCCGCCTTAGATCTCTCCCAGAGCTAGCCGCCCAGAACTCAGTCACCTACCATGAACCCGACTCCCATACACTGAAACATAACCAACTCCCATTTCCTGCACGCCGTAAATTGTTCCCGAGTTCCAGTTCCATCAGCGACTGGGCTTCAGTCGACGTGTGTGTAATTTAGCTAATCCTGCAGCTCATATATCCGGAACGGCTCGAGTTCCTGGCCCGCTCACCGGCAGTTTGTTCTCGGAGAATGACGGACCGAGTTCATCAGCCCGCCGCGGGCAGCAGATGTCGGTGACCTATGTCCAGAACACCGCAGAGTCGCAACGGTGACCGGTGCGGCCAGCGGTAAAAGTTCCTAAACTCGCTGCCAAGTATATAACGTTTAAGACTGCAAGTTGGATAATTAAAATGATGATGGTGCCATAAAATAGACACAGCCGAGAGTTCATCTAGTGACCGGACGGCAACACACGGAGATTACGAAATCCCTATGAGATCAAATGTCTCCGAAATGCAATTATATCGACAGCACCGATGCTATCCATGCCAGCCGCTCAATTTGACGCCATGGTGCATAATGTCCTGCCACCGGGATATAGCCGAATCATCCAACCAATGACAATCTCGCTCCACATTCCAAACTTGATGGCACGACATCCCTCCTGCCATTGCTCTCCCCGCATGGGGAGTAAATCCTGAATCCCATTCGAATCGAGTCTAGTATTCAAACTGTCTGAAGTCAACCGGACTCTGCCTGCCCCCAGAGTTGGTACAGGAAGCCGGCTCCGATGTCTGCCCTCACGGCAGGCGACTTTTCCTGCCGTTCCGCTCCGCACTGCCCCGGCGGACGTCCGCTCGCTGTGCGGGGTCCGCGCGGGCGTAGTCTTTGTCAACGCGACCACAGCGGCGCGGCGGAGACAAAAACGACGCGCCACCGTCGCGCCGGTTTGCCTGACGCGCGCCCCGGCCGGAACCTGAGACGGTTTTTGTTAGCAATCTGGGCAATGTGGGTGGCTTTTTAGCTCGGAGCGGCGCGAGAAAAACTGGGAGGTCGTGTTGGTTGGTCTTTAGCCGACGTGGCCATATTATCTGAATTAGTGGTGATATGAAGCAGCCGACAAAACATAACGGATTGTGGAGCACCAAGCTTGCTGAAACATTATGTCTTTTGTTTAATTAGGAAAAGTTCAGTAGCCTAAAACTGAACCAAACTCCATGTCTCATTTTGATCCCCAGAAAGTGAGTGTAGTCTGAGTTCAACTATGACGTCACTTCTCACGTGAGCACGCAGTGTTCGTGGGGCGTAAGCGCGCATAGGACATCACTACTCACCTGAGCACGTCGCGTTCGTGCGAGGGTCGCTGCCAGTCAGTCTGACCAGGGTCGGACAAACGGTGACCGATGATGGCATCCAGCTCTGAGCGCAGACTCTGAAACGGAATACGAATATTGTGGTCACCAGTTATCACATAATTCCAGCTTCAGCCGGAGGCTCTCCAACATAATACGGGCATTGTGGTCACCTGTCGCCAAGTCGCCACACATTCTCAGCTGCGATTGCAAGCTCTGCATTCTGCAACAGAATACGAGAAGTGCGGTCACCAGCCACCATTCATTTCTAACACAGGGTGGCGACTGGCAAAACAAGAATGGAACGAGATAGCGCAATTCATTTGAATGTTGTGGAAAATTAAAATACATTGCCATCTAGGTTTAGTGAGCAAATGAAAATACATTACCGCCACGCGAAGACGGTCATATGAATAAAGCGGACTGGATATTTGGTACAAACGAAAACAAGTATGCTGGAGTAAAAACGTTGTTTGCTGTAAGCAGTAAAGAGTTTACAAACGCCTGTCAAGGCTTGTGAAATGCATGTTAGACACGAGTCGGTACTTGGATAACTGGAAGGTTTTGACTATGCATTCCTGGAAGAAATTTTTGAACTGTTCGACACAACCTATAAGGCGGTCGAAACTGTGGAGATTGATTAATCTCTGGAGAAGGGTTAATCTCATTAAGTTGGGGTAAAAATAATATATTCGAGAAGCCACCAACTCACCATAAAATCATTGAATCATAAATGTAAAAACCAAGGCATCTGATCCCAGATGTGATGCAGAATACCGCGCAGTTCAGCCCCGAATACTTAGGCTATTCTTTCCTCTGTCAGGTCTCTTTCCTGCCGCGGCCGAAATGGCTCCTGAGAGGCCGACTGACACTTGGCCGGGTGTCCTGTAAAGCCGCTGTCACTCGCCGACCCCGCGGGGAACGACCGGCGTGTCAGGAATCCGCTGACCCCCCCCCCCCCCCTGCCGCCTAGGAGTGACCCGCCCCTCCCCGTCCCCAGCCTGTACCGCATCTTTCCCAGAGGTGCCGCCGAACGACAGTTAAGAGGGGGGGGGTGACATAATGGGTCAGGGCAGAATGATGCTGCCATTTGGTCCTTTTCACAGAAATAGGTCTGCCATTTTGAAGTAGAGCTGACATAATTTCTCGGTAATTTTACTATATTAGTTTCGTATACCACCGTATATATATATACCGTATATATATATATATATATATATATATATATATATATATATATATATATATATATATATATATATATATATATATATATATAATATATATAGTTGGTAAGGTGCTCAAAATATCAGTGACACTCATATAATCATATTTTATCTTTCGACGCGTTTCGATTGTATTTTCACAATCATTTTCAAGATCTACATTATATGTTGATATAACACTGCCTATAGCTATTTCAAGTTACAGAGTCGCTTGAGATATAGCACTATTTAAATTATCATAAAACATGTGACTGACAGTATTCGAAACCTTCGTTTTTGCTAAATGTCTCTCGCATAATAGTTACGCTAGGGATACAGTTCACGATATATAGCACTATTTAAATTATCATAAAACATGTGACTGACAGTATTCCCATACGCCGAGATATCCCTTTAGCATTATCCTAGCCGTGCGGGAAACATTTGCACGTGATCTTTCCTGCACTGTTTTCCGGCACGGGTTGATGACCTACAGTTCTGGTGATTTTTTGATAAAACTCTTAAAAAAGGTGATTTCAATAATTAAATTGTGAGTTTCTGAATAGATATTAAACGACGTATGGGAAATATCTTACTGAACTTGCTCTGGGAAGAAAAATGGAAACCTCGGTCTTCAAAAAATCTCCGGCACTCGGCTACGCCTCGTGCCTACAATTTTTTAAAGACCTCGGTTTCCATTTTTCTTTCCCAGAGCCGTTCAGTAATATATATTCGAAACCTTCGTTTTTGCTAAATGTCTCTCGCATAATAGTTACGCTAGGGATACCCGAAGGTTGTTTCTTCATTAGACAAACACTATTCTTTAGAATTGTGTTTTTCTATTGAAAAACAAACTGAGGGTGTTTCCATTTCGGGATAGGATTCGTGTTTGGTGCAGCGAATTGGGGCACCTTGCACCGTTTGCACACGAACCGATAGATTTTGATTAAATTTTCAGGGCAGCTGCCCCCACAGATTATCTACCACGAAACACCCTCAGCTAAGAACATAATTATTTTTCTTGCACGTGGCACGTGCACGTGTTTTAGGCCCATAGGCTTCAACATTAGGTGGATTTTCGGCATCGCATTTCTCGCAGACGGGTGCTTGTAATGCGATGGGCTTCTATGTGCTGGGTGGCCGCCCCGGCATCTACCATGAGCCGGCGGCGCCGTTTCGGGCAGCTTCGGGAAGGGGGTGCAAATTGCACGTGCAGCCGCCATTGGTTTAACGTTACGAAATGTGCCAAAACGGGTTTTCTCGATTTGCTCAAAATCGGCTCCATAGATTTTCTTTGTTTTTTGAGTACCGGTAGTCGGTCAGTAGGTTCGTTCGTCAATGTCAATCGCTTGAAATATAATTACCTTTTTTGCACGTGGCACGCGCACAAATCTTCACGTCTTAAGTCAATGGGATTTCTTGAAAAAATTACTTAAATCAATTTTGCTCAAAATTTCCACGTTAGATGTTAAAAATGTTTCAGTATGATATGCACCCACATGTCGCCTACCAGGTGGCATAGGCCATATATGGGGCGATTGAAATGCACGTGCACGCCCCGCACTTGTTTGAGGGGACCACCTCCGTGAAAATTTGACCACTGCTGGTATGATGGCCTGTGCCGCGCAAACAATACGTGCCAGCGGAACCAATCGAGGCCAGTCGTCAAGGGGATGCTCTAGGATAGTTGTACACCTCATCACGTGGTGCACGTGTTTTCGCACGTGCGCCACATGGGTATAGCATTTTGGGATAGGTAGCCATTGGTGCATAATTATGCTCAGGTGATAACCTCACTGCATGGGTTTGAGCCAGAGTTCCAAGTCGGTTGCGATAATGACCATTGGTGTTGGGTCTACTACGTGTCAAACACGTGGCCGCCCGGGGTTCTCCATTCCGGAGATATTGTGACCGATAGTGAGGTAAGCCCTAATTTAAAGATTGGCCAAGTTTGATCGGCCGCTGGGAGACAATGGAGGCGCATCCGAAAGTCTACCCATGGGCACTGAAGACCCCTTTCATCTGGTACAAAAGGATGGTCGCTTTATGTCTTTAGGCCACACGTGGCACGTGGCACCCCACCTCGAGTGACCATGTGCACTCTCAATGTAAGGCGTTTTGGCCATAACTTTGCCATTTATGGGCCGATTTCGACGAAAATTGCAACATTGATGCATTAAAATGACCTGTGTCACAACCGGCGCTACGAATACAACAAACTCATGTGCGTCGTTTTGGTCTCTAGTGCGCCACTTAACCCACGCCCCACTGGGGTCTGCGTATAACACGCCCTACTGGGGGGGGGGGGGGCTATTCATAGCCCCCCCTCCTAACTCCGAAACTACTGGGCCGATCGTCAAAATTCAAACGGCGTCTGATAGCCCCGGAAAAACTGTCGAGCGAAACCTAATTTCATTGACCTTGAGGTCACCGATGACGTCACAGGTCAGGTCAAAGTAAAAATTATTAGCATTTTGATTTGTTCACGTTTTGGGCTCTGGCCGCCGTCTTACAAGTCAGATCAGGCTCATGTCCTTTGTCAAATCACACAGCTTTTATCCAGCAGAGAAGAGTCAGTTCCCTTTTATCCAGTGGAGTGTAATTCGGATACACCTCAGTAGGGCGGTTTTAATGGCACCAACATCAGGCTCTAGTGCGGCCTTTTCATGTTGATGGTACTCTCCTGCGTTAAACGGACGTCTTGGCACTTTACGAGGCTGCGTCAGGCGGGGCTGAGGCTGGGGAATGGTTGCTGCGCCGTGTGAGGTTATGTAAAGCTCCAGTAAATCCCCGCTGAAGTGTGAAGCCGCGGTGTTCTGCGCCGAAGTGGGTTAGTGGATGAGGCTGAGCGTGGGCTGGGCGGGAGTCGGGTGAGACAGGCACCCTCGGATTGCGCTCTCAGGATGTGAGGGTGGCAGGTTATGGCTTTATGTAGTAATATCGGACTCTTGGGTGATAGATGTAGTGCTCCGACTGTGGTAGGACTCGCCATGTATCCTCATCGTATAAATATAAAGAAACAAACACATTGATAGAAACATGCATTCTAGATTGATCTTGATGGTTTATGAGATAAGTTTCCATGGGATCAAAATGACCTTTGCAGTCGGCGCGCCCTAAAGCCCCAATAAACTACAAGAGATAAGTTTCCATATGAGCTTATTTGGTTATACGGCTCGAGCAATGTGTGATGACTCCAATCAGGAAATGTAAATCGTAGAAGTTCAAAGTACCCGTTACGTATAAAGCTGCTCTTTATAGCTTCCCGTTTGAGATTCCTTTGGAGAAATTCCAACATTTCCCGTTCCTTTGCTTGCATTTTTGCTCGTTGTAAATTCCTTTTTTCGGACATGCCTTTCTCCGTTGGACCGTCCCCTAGAAGCATGGTCTGCCAGAGTTCCTTGGTCATTTGTCCCGGGCCGAGCAATACGTTTTCATTGCGTCTGGTTTTATCTTGTTTTTAGTGGTGGTCGGATGGTCGCGATGCGCGCGTTCCATTTGTTGTCGGCGAGTAATCTTGTGTTTGATCGGGATGAAACTGGGTGAGTGATGGACCTGACGAGTCTGCCGACAGGAAAAGGGGTAGGGAAAGCTCCATAGGTCAGAGAGAAGCGTTCTTTTGAAGTGCCGTTTTCGTTGAGAAGTGCGAAGGTGGGCTTCAGTGAGCTGTGACGTTTCTGGTTTGCAGATGGGGCTGATGAGTTTAAAAGCAAACGAGAAAATGTCGATGAATGGGTTTGATGCCCAGTCTGTGCTGCTGCTACTTTTGCCCTGTGGTCTGGCGAGTCCTTGGGTCGTGATTCTGGCTCTTCCAGTGGTGTCCTGTGTTGCTGGTAGTAGAGTTCAGCTCTTGGCCTTGGCGCTGCTGCGAGAGA